AGAGAGAGAGAGAGAGAGAGAGAGAGAGAGAGAGAGAGAGAGAGAGAGAAAAGACTAATAGAACAAGTTCCACAACATGCATTCTGTGTTAGAAAATTGACTTGATTGGCCTGGGCACCTGCTGTCTAACTCAGTTGCTCAACTCAGTCTCTAAGCTTCTTAGGGTGGGGGCAGCTTCCTGACTGCTCCGTCCATCAAAGAGCTGACAACAGCAGCTTGCTTTACAATGCAAATTTCTTATATTGTACTAACAAAACAGAACAAAACAAAGCCAAAAAAAGAAAAGAAGGTGCGTTCTTAATTTCCTCCCCACCTGCAGAATAGGAAATTTTGTTTAAGGACTTGATATTCTCTTTAACAGAGAGAAATTATTGTGATACATATTGCTTTGGAAGAATTATAGCAGTTTAACAAAAACATTAAATCATGGCCTGTTGTTTCCCATTTCCAAAAACCTATTTCTGAAGACGTGATAAAGATTCTCTGCATGCTTAAAAGACAATTGACCTTCAGACAGCACAGCAGTCATTGCTCTTAGGGGCTTTCTTGTTTCTCTCATCTGGTAACATTACTGCACACCATACTAAGGTACATATTTAACATAGGTAGAATGTGAATTTTAAAAGTTTCCAATAAATGAAACACTTAGACATAACACTAACTTGTTGGTACAAGTTAGTATTATTACTAAAAACCATTATTGTCTAAGGCCAGGGATCATACTGTCATGAAATCTTGGTAATTCTTCTTATATTAATATGATTTCTATTTTTTTCTGACTTTATTTCTATAATTTATCTTTCTATAATTTGGAAATTTTTAAGAAACAGATACACATGATAGAATACTAACTTACTCAAGTCAGGAGCTAGTCAATGTGTATACTGATATGATGGGGGCAAAGTGAAATGTCAAATAAAACTCAAAAGTCTAATCTTGTTAAAACATTGCTAAAGGCATTATAAAAATATTAGGATCACTCGTGGGACAAACATCATGGAAATGCTTTCAGAAGTATTGCAAATACGTTGCTAATATCAATCTCTTTTTTCCTCATGAAATCTGATTTCACATTCTAGTAACCACTTTCTTTATTGTCATCCAAATTTGGTAACGCATGAAATACCTCCCTTTCTTACGAGAGAATCATTTTTCAACTTTAATGGTGAACCTCAATAATAAATAAATTTTAACTATTGGTAGTTACCTCAACACCACTTTACATTTATATCGTACTTTATAGACTTCAAGGCATCTTTTTATACACTAAACAATAGTTTTACTTGGTAAAGTCATGCTGTTATGTTTAATATTCAAAATCATATGCCATATTCCAATTGGCATTGAATTCAATTCCAACCCTATGAAATATGAGTTTAAGTGATTTTCTCAAGGTCATTCAGCCTGTAAATAGAGGAAGCAGCACCTCTTTAACTCAAGTTGTGTGAATCCAAGTTCAGGCCTAATTCATTACACCAAAATTAGCCATATATCTTTTCCTGCTCAGCTTCCTCTAAATTTTTTTCTTGCTATTAATAGTACCAACTGATCTAGGAATCCTCCCTTCAAAACTCACAATAATTTCCCATTATTCTTTGTTACTTAGAAAAATGGTCTCAGCATTTACATTTACTCATATTTAGCACTCCAAAGGGAATACAATTGGCTAAATACTGGCTATGCACCAAGCATGGGAATAATTGTTTTACATTTATTATCTCTTTTAATTTACTACTTATTAAAAGCTAATAATGTAGGTATCATCTTATTGAGAATTAAGGATTGAGTAATTTGGTTGGGATTAAATATTAAAGAGCTGGAACTAAGGTCTAAATCTGGGTTTGTCTGATTCTAAAGCTCATGTTCTTGCAAACTAACATTGTCCTGTCTTCCCACTTTAGCAGCTATAGATGTCCATGTTTATACCATAAGTTCTTCACGCAGCAGTTTTTAGCAGTAACATCAGTATTCCCCCATCTCCTTAATTCATATATATGTATATTTAAATATTTTTGTCTAAATCTCTACTTGGTATTTCTCATTATTTAGTCTCTACTCTGTTTCTTTAGTTTCCATTTCAGGCTAGGAAGTTGGCA